ATAAAATTTAATTTAATATTATATTATGGGGCGAGATATACTCGTATAACTCATTTATATAATTCAATCTAACACGTGTAAATTTCGTGCCTTTTTTGAAGTTATAATGATCGCATTATTCTCGATTTATATTAGTTTCTCAATACATTGATCTTATAACAATCAGAGAGTGTAAATCAAAATAAAAATCAGAGGATCACATTTAACATTAAACGCAGCATCACATAGCAGCTTTAATACACGAGTTTCGAAAAATGTCTTGTTCACTTGCTCTCATTGTGAGACTTCATGTGCGAGTTCAATGAGCCTTGTTGCGTAAATCTCTTGTGACACACCTTACATTCGTAAGGTCTCTCGCCGGTATGCGTTCTCAGGTGCACGATCAGGTATTTCCGTACGCTGAACGCCTTGCCGCACATCTCGCAAACGTGCGGCTTCTCTCCCGAATGTATACGCATGTGAATTTGCAGGTACGTCTTGCTGCTCACAGACTTCCCGCACACCTCGCACGTGATTTGATTCTCGCCGGTGTGTATCTTAAGGTGCACCTTCAACGCGGCCTTCCAGTAGCTCTCGAAATTGCAGATATTGCACTTGTGCTTCTCCCTCTCGCCGTGGGATCTCATGTGCATGTTAAGATACGCCGCGCTCGCATACGCGGTGTTACACACCTTACACACGAACGGCTTCTCGCCCGTGTGCGTGAGCAAGTGTCGCTCCAGCGTCTGATTCGTGTAGAAGCCCTTGTTGCAAATCTCGCAATGTATCACGTACTCCTGATTGTGCTTCTTCTTGTGCAGACGCAGATCGTATCCGGAGACCTTCGACACGCCGCATATGTCGCAGGTGAAACGTTTGTTGTGTTGCTTCAGGTGGGTCTTCAAGAATTCCTCGGTCTTGAAACACTTGCCGCACAGAACGCATTGAAAAGGTCTCTCCTTCTGATGCGCCTTTATCATATGCTTCTGCAATTTCTCCTCATTGTCGAAAATTTTATCGCACTCCTCGCAGCAATTTTCGGTCTTCGAATTCCTCTCGTGATCTTGTCTATGCTTCAAAAACTGCAACTTCTTGAGCATTTGCTTCCCACAAATTTCACACTCGTAAACCGCCGCACGCTTGCGACTCGAATCGTGTTCGGAAACCCGTTTTATGACACGTATCTTCGACGCAGATTCTAGTTTGTCGCCCGAATCTTCAGTCCTATATTCGATCGTTTCCATAACTATTTCTTGATGATCAACGTGATATTCTTCCATCGTAGGTACCTCGTCTTGATATTCTAACTCTATACCTTGCAATTCGAGCGGGTTCAGCTTTACGTCTTCCATGTCAATCTCTTCGCACCTGTAATAAATAATATCTGTCAACAGCGCGAGAAAGTAACGGATAATTGTGTTAAAACATAATATTCAGTTGACAATTAATTTACTTGAGCTAAGCTTTTTTTACATTCTTGATAAGTTTTTCACAGGAGGCACTTTCATACTTATTGAGTCAATCATGGCTGTCATGGGAGTCAATCAATTTGACCGTCACTACTTGATTTGATTTTTATTCGAAATTAAATGATAACAACTTGAAACTATTTTAAAAAAGTTTAAATTTCTAATCGTATATATATTGTACTTTTAAAGCTAAATACTGTAAAATTTCGTGCTTTATGAAGTTCATATGAACTTTTCTTCACATTTTTATAAATTATACTGTTCACTATCTACAAAGATACAATCTACGCTCTAAAGATACACTTTACAACACAATTATAATTAACACTTCTTTTTCAATATACAATTTTTGTTTATAACAGTTTTACATTTTTACCTGAATAGTTTTCATATAATAATTTATGTTTCAACTGATTGTTTTTACTAGCTCGATTACTAATTTTTGGCTACTATCTAAAATTTCTTCTCATTCTTCTAATTTATTTCAACAATCTTAGTTGTATATTTAAATTAATTCTAAAATGATTAAAAATGGAGAATAAATTATTAATAACATGACAAATTGTACAAGCACATTAAGATTTATTGCATTATATATACAACGTACGCAGTACAATACATAGTATTGCATTGAAAATAGTACTAACAAAGAAGTAAAAATGATACTGCATTTGAAAAAATGATTTATTTAACTGCCTAATCAATATTTTAAATAACCATACAAAAACAAATATTTTTTAATTTTACATGCAATGTTGTATTAAGTACTAACATATTACAGTTTGAGATTAATTATATAAAATAAAGAACAATAAAAAAAAAAAACATGTCATTGATAAAATTTAAGACTTTTTGCGGTCGTACCTTGATTTGTTGCCACTCAATTAAATTCATAAATAACTTCATATTTTCATACAGCTGTCTTGACATAACTTAGAATGTAATTAATGTCATTAATTAACCGTTCATATCATAAAAAGCATGTAATAACAAATATTGACATGAAATAATAATTCTATTCAGTGAATTAACGCAATGTACATCGTACAAAATATGTAATTAATAAATTACATTAATCATCAATGTCATAAAACAAATATGAATAATCAATTCGAATAGGATTTTAAAAGATTTTGAAGGAAAAAAAAAAGAACATGCTAAAAAAGAAAATGCTATTATTTAGGAGTCTCGTGTCTCCGAAGATGCGCACTAAGACTGCCCCGCTGAGTGAAACGTTTCTCGCAGATTTTGCACTTGTAAGGTTTTTCACCAGTATGAGTTCGCCGATGTTTAATCAGATACTTCCTGGCGCTGAACGCCTTGCCACAAAACTCACAAATCTCCGGTTTCTCGCCAGTGTGTATCCTAATATGAGTCTTCATGTACTGCCGTCTGATCAGCTTGCCACACACTTCACATGCCACCTGATTCTCGCCGGTGTGCGTCCACATGTGCTCCTTGTAGCAATAGCTGTAGACTGTCTCGAAGCTGCATATCTCGCACTTGAATTTCTTCCTCGTCTCGGGCTGACTATGAATCATCTTCATGTGATTACGGAGGTAGACTCGATTGCCGAAGGACTTGTGGCAGATCTCGCAGGTGCAGGGCTTGTCGTCGGTGTGCGCGGTCATGTGAGTCTTCAGCGTTGCCTTCAAGTAAAAGCCCTTGTTACAAATCTCGCAGAACTCGGTAAACTCCTTGTTATGCCGCCTGATGTGAAGCCTCAGATAGTAATCCGACGTCAGCTTCGCGCCGCACACGTGACAAACGTGCGGTGCGCCGTGTAACGTTTTGTGTACGTTCAAGTACCTTTGCTTCTTGAATACCTTGTGACATTGATCACACTTAACGGGACCTGGCGACTTCTCTCGGGATTCCTCGTTCTCCTCTCGAGTCGTCTTGATTTCTGTCTCGTTGCATTCTTGCTTCTTTTGCGTGGCCGCAGGATACCTACATCGTATCCGGCGATGATTACTCAATTGCACCTTTTTCGAGAACGTCCGCCCGCATACGTCGCACTCGTGTTTCTTTTCCGCTTGACGTAACGCTTGTCGGGTTCTAAGTATCGATTGCTCTGTTCTATGCACTATCAAACTGGCTTCTGTATCAAAATCTTCGTTGCACGAATCACAGTGATATGCGGTTACCTCCTGAACGAGAATAGTTTCGTCGTCAATCTTTTGGAAGATAACGAAGGATGCGCCTTGATCCTCTCTTTTTATCGCAAATTTTTTCTGCCGTGTTCTAGAACTCCGTTTTTTAGTTCTGAAAAGAAATGAACACGAATTATATTTTTAATTAAAATATAAGTGGACGCATTTCAACATTTATTTTAATCATTTCGCGTCATGTGTTAGATAATAGTCATTATTCAAGAGATAGGGGATACAGTTAGAAAAAAATTATATAAAGCAAATTATGTAAAGTGAACTTAATTTAAAATTTAAGCAAAAAGGCGTATTTTTATGTTCATTAAAATCTTCAGGTGCAATAAAAAGTTTAATAAGTAAAATTGCCAATATAAAATATTAAAACCTTTTTACTTACTGTACAATTTCAGAGCTGCGATCTCAGTGACACATCGAGTCAGAGACTTCATATCATAAAATAATTATTGCAAAACAAAATTTATACGAACAAAGAAAACTTATGCGTAAGTCTAAGAAAGGTAAATATACAATTTTTAATATTATATGTCAATCCTTTTTAAAGATATTAAATCATTTATATAAAAGAGAAAAAAAACAAAGTATAACAAATTATCTCAAGAGTATTGTCCACAAAATCAAATTACTTCAAAAATTCAACATTTTATTAATTATAATTTATGAAAATATTTTTATATATTTAGAGTTTTAAAGAAATTTTCAATAAGAATAATTCTATAAAATTATAACACTTCTTATGAAATTAGCACTTGGTTACATAAAAATAATACTAGAATAGTGTAAACCATATAAAACTAAAACAAGTTATTGTTCTTTATAAAAAATACCCAAAAATATGAAATTTTGTAAACGTTGTATAACAAAATAGACTAATAGTTGAAATAAGTATTAATAGATGAAAAAGTATTTTTGCCAGTTTTTCTTTGATTCCTCTCAATATGTCTCAAGTTAAATAATATAAGACACAAAAAAAAATTAATGTTTTCAAGAATATATGTTAAAATTTAAATGCTGCTTATAACAATCATGAGAGATGAGAAAGAATTATATAATATTATTTAACCATTACTTAAATTTTTCTTATAGAAAGTAGTAACATAATAAAGAAAATTATTGTATTGAAAAAAAATTAAATGTCTTTAATATGATATAATTAACGATTAATTTTTCTGTTATCACACAATTATAATACCAACAAAAATTTTTTTAATCTATTAAAAAATAAACTATTTTAATTAAAAATTTTATTTTATTATAAAGAAAGATAAATAAAAGCAAAATAATTACATTATTTATAAATGAATTTCACCAGAAGATAATAAATATAAAATATGTATTTATATATGTTATGCAAAATCTAAGCAAATTTCTTTAGACATTATCGTATCATTAATCATCTATAATAGATTTATTCCAGTAATTTTACATATAATCGTGTTATATAATTATATATAACTTTCTTTTATTTAAACAATGATATATATAACAATAAAGGCACTGGAATTTTATTTCCGGTAATTGTTTAATAAACATTTGTAACAATAAGGCAAGTATCACACTCATTTTAAGAGTGTACAATTATTTACACTAGAACATATCATTAATGATCTTCTATAAAGATGCGCACGTAGTAAATATTGAATAAATAATCATCTGTCTATAAGTCGCATTATAAATAAAAATATAAGCATAAATTTAAAAAAATACTGTGTCAATAATATAATTAAAAAATTATGGACGGTTTATTACAGTTTGTGATGTCACTTGCGTTTTCTGATGTTTTTGAACGTGATAAACAAACCACTGATCAGTATATAGATCAGTATTGTGAATATGCAAATGAGAACTATTTATTGGTTCGATTTCTTATTATTTCGATGTCTTCATGATCTGTTTCTAAAACTAACTAATATTTCATTGGTAAATCTTTCAAAATTTGATTAACTTTTACAAAATAATTTATTTTTTAATGAAGATCTTGCATTACATAGTTTGCAAGATATTTTGTTTAATGATTCTTTGATCGATAACTACTCACCAACCACAATAAATAGTTGGCATTATCTTGTAATTCTTTAAAATTAGATATTGTGTATAAACATCAACAATATCATCTGTCAGACTTTTCAGAGAAATGCGAGGTACCTACCTCTCTTAAACTGAATCAGTGAAAATTTCGATAATTAAAACAAGATAATGCAGGACTTCACTAAATATCAGTATTTCATTTTTTATTTTCAATGTAGGTGATTCAATGATACTCACACTTTGCTCTTTCATCTTCTCACTGATAACTAAGAAAACTAAATTTTACAATTTATTATATAATTTGTAAAATTAATTATACATATTCGCGTTATATATAGTTTAGAAGGTTTTCTGTATGTTAAATTACTATTTTTTAGGAGAGATTGTCACATTTAAAGCTGTAACTATTATTCAAACTGAGAATCATATGTTACATTTTATTTATCTAAACCTGCTACTGTTCACGATTTGCAGCAGTCTAATATCACAAAACAACGTAATTGCTTCCAGTAAGATTTCACTAAAAATGCAATGTTACACAATAGTTGACAACTTCTACTTTACTCTTCACTACTTTCAGTCATAATACACTGATTCCATTTAAGAGAGACCCTAACTCGATAAAAATATTTGTTCGTATTTTAACAAATCAATGCATGTTACAAGCATACTTTCCATCTAATTTTACATGGCGTAAAAAATATCACTACAAAAGCGAGTTTGTGCCTTACAATATACTTCCACCAGTTATCCTCTAGAATTCAAAAGCTTATCGATTTGTGTAGATTGCAAAGTACCAGTCATTTTATATCTAGCGTTTTCTTCACATCTGCTAATATCACCTAAGCGTTGATAAAACATAAAAAAAAGCACACAAACTAAATTACATAAAAAAATATGGGTCTATTTTAGTAAAATTGTCCTAACTACAACATTATAGTGACGGTTTCGAGCGGCAATGATTCTTGTTGCTGCTGCGAACTCTGCTGCTGCTGTACCTGCTGTTGCTGCTGCTCCTGCTGCTGCCGGGCGTTTTGTTTCGCGTGCGTTTTCAGATGCGAGTTCAGCATCGTTTTCGAAGCGAACGATTTGTGACAGCACGTGCAGGGATAAGGTCGATCGCCCGTATGACCCCGTAGATGCACCACCAACGTAGTCCGTTGAGTAAACCTTTTGTTGCAGTGGGTGCACTGATGAGGCTTCTCGCCTGTGTGCGTGCGACGGTGCACGCTCAGGTAATTCTGCGAGATGAAACCCTTGCCACAAATGTCGCAAACGTGTGGCTTCTCGCCGGTGTGCTTCCGTAGATGCACCGCGAGATAAGTCTTGCTGGACACGGACTTGCCGCACGTCTTGCACACATATTCATTTTGCGGTCCCACATTGCCGTGAGTCTTCATGTGTACCAGCAACACCTGCTTTCGGGAGAAACGCTTGTTACACAGCTCGCAGTGGTGCTTCCTCTGCGGCGGCACGTAATCCGGCTGATGCAGCTTCGTGTGCAGCCGTAGACCTTGGCGGTAGCGAAACGTGGCGTTACACACGTCGCACTGAAACGGCTTTTCACGCGAGTGCGACAGCATGTGTACCTGGCAGTTGCTCTTGCTCTGAAACTGCTCGCCGCACACCTCGCACTGATACTTGTAATCGGACACGTGGCACCGCCGCTCGTGGGCGATCAGGCTCTCCCTGACCGAGGTCAGGTAGCCGCAGTTGTCGCAGCTGAAACACTCCTCCTCGGAAAGGTGTTCCTTCTGGTGTTCATACAGCTCCAACGTCGTCGCGAAGCTGCAGCCGCAATTCTCGCAGACCAATTGCTCGTCCTGCTGCGGCTGCGCTTGGGACTCTTCCGAATGGGACTCGTGCGTCTCTAAGTGCAAATTAAGAGCCTGTTCGGAGACGAAACTGTCACCGCAGAATTCGCACTGCAGGACGCTCTCGTGAGCGTCAAGAGCGAGCATTTCCGTCGTCTCCACCTTCGAGTGCAACGGTTCCGCTATCAGTAACTGCGTATGACCCCGGACAAAGATCTGCTTGAACTCGCTGGGACTGCATTGCTGCCGATCCTGAGGCAGCACCGTGAGTTTTGACACAAAATATCTGGAAAGAAGAGAGACACAAACGGAAGTCAATCAGTGCTCGTTCCACGCCGCCTCTTTCGTTCTTTTATCGTTGCCTTAATCAGGGGCTTACGTGGTAAGCGAGATATGTACAGGGACGATCAGCTGAACACTCGTGCTCGATTGTATGGAAGTTGGGTAGTTAATAAAGCGCCTCTCACTTGTGATTTCCAGTATTCTCTTTATTACGTAGCCATCTGCATTCTACCGTTTCTCATCGATGTCTATTATACAATGGATTATTCGCGAGCGAACACCATTGTCTTCTGTACCATTTGTTGTACTTGCAGCCTTGCTTACATGACCCTTGTAACATACAATTCTACAAAATACCGCTTATATTCTAGGCTTTCTTAATATTAATACGTATACTGTGTTCATATTGTGTTCATCAATAAAATGCCTAGTCTTAAAACAATACTAATTATATTAACAACCATACCACATTTTCGTTTCTCCTATAGGTGCATAATCTCACTATTTCTTGCTTACAGTATTTACAAAATGTTGCATTATTATCATACGAGCCATAAATTCAATTAAGAGATTTGACAAATTTTAAGTCAGTCGCCTTCTCCTAATAAGTTTGATTATCAAAGTAAAATTTTGCTGTGCCTCCATAATTTTTAATGTTAAATACTCTTGCAGATAAGTTGATTTTCAACTTAAAAATTAATATTAATTAAAACTCTATTCTATAAAAAAAATACTGTAATTAAAAGCGTTTGATCCGTTAGTCATAAAATTTAATTGATTAAAATTTTGATTTCCAATATTCGATATAAATAATTTACATTTTTTTAGCTGAGCTATTAGCATCTAAGATCGAAAAAACATTAGATTTCTATAGAAATACCCTGTATAACATTTATAAATGTACATTCTCTATTTTTCTCCTCACTCTTTTAAAATAATTTATTATTTAATTTAACGTAATTATATAAAAAATTATTATTTTATAGAGCTACAACTTTTTTTTCTTTTCTTAGCTACAGAAAAGAACAAAGAATCAATTAATTGTAATCAATGTCGGGAAAAATCTTGAAATATACAAAATTATGAATCTTTCGCTATACACGTATTACATTAAATTAGATATTGTTCGCAAAGCAATAAATTTTACTTACGTACTGTTAGTAAAAGTTTCGCATTAGAGAAAATTGTTTCCGTTAATTATTCTTGAACGTTAATATTTTAGTCTACATTTCTAAAATCTAAATTATAGATTAGTATTGAAAAATGTCAAATTTAAGCGACCGATCACTGAAGAAAAGATGGTGCAAATACTTACAAACATTTTATGCTTTTTATTGACTGTATTCATATGCAAATTACAAAAAAAAACAGATGTATAAAGTAATGATTTAAAAGTTAAAATTTTTCGCATTAATACATGTTTCCGTATGGCTCTTATTTTAATATTAAAAGGTATGTTTCCTAAATTCAATTTATTAAATAGAAAAGTAATTTATTCTTTAAAGCTAAGGCTCTTACTGACCTTGCGATCACGTTAGATTGCAGTCAATAGTGAGAAAATATATAAAAAAATTCTTATAAATTATATTAAATATATATATTTTTAATAAAACAATATTTCCATCTAGTAGACACTTCTAAAATATATCGAAACATATCTTTTCAGGATAAAATAAAATATCTATTTTAATTAAATATATGTCAATATTAGTTTGTTTCGTTTTTGGATTCAACACAATTCAGTTCTAAATATATTAGCATTTAAAATCAAAAATAATTTTCTTAAAATAGAAATAGAAATAAAAATAAACCTCATTACCAAAATACAGATATCTTATCAATATATTTTACAAATCTATTCTATAAATTGCAAATGTTTTATTTAAAAAAATATTTTAATACAAGAAATTTCTTTATGTATTTTATCATTTCTGACAATAACTGCAACGAATAAGCAAGAATCTGTAGTGTACAACTCTTTGTTATTAAAAATAAGACATAATTAAAGATAATCTCATCAAGTATTAACTACATTTTTAAAATACATTTGAAAATTGTGTAAATATATTAGAGTAAATATTCTAATTATAAGAATATGTAAAATATGTTTGCAAAAAATATTGTCAATTTTAACTAATTGGCAACATACCTAGACGCATATATAACGTACATTTGCAAAAATGCAGTCTAGTATGTTACTTTAATAGGAAAAAATACGTTTGTAAAGCGATAAAGTCAAAGAATCACTGCGAAAAGTGAACAAACACTATTTATTCTATCTGCAAATCTATCTTCGAATTGCACTTAACTTCTAGGACTAAATCTAGATATATAAGCGTCTTCATACTTACATGTCACATTTACGTAATTAATGTTATACGTTCTACCCTGTCTTTCATCTTATATTAATTAAAGGCACCTGAATTCAATTATAACGTTGAAACTAATTACGTATTATAGTTTAGCAATCAACAGTTTAATCAATATAATTAAAAATGTAATATTAATGTGAAGTACAAAAATAATTATTCACTTATTTTCAAATTATTTTTAAAATTTCAATTTATCTCACGATAAAAAATAATTTAGACAATTGGACTTTTAGGCACTTTTTTCGTATTATTGCGCAGGTACTACCTTCTTTTATTAGAAACTGAATTACGCCATATTTACTTTCATTTAGAAAGATATTCCGCCTCACGTCTATAATATTAACATTACTCTAAATATTTTGTATAATATACAAACGATATCACAGTGATGACAACATTTATGATTACAGCATGTAGTTGCTTACATATTTTTATCGTGATTTTGATTTGGTTACCAAGTATATTTTATCCGAAACTATATGAAGTTATATATTATGTAGACGTATTCATAAAAAAAATTAATTTATATATTTTAATTTATTTGCCATATTTATTGTATTGCGAGTAACTTGAGTAATTTTAGGCACTTAGATATCAACACTCTATATAATTTTGTATTAAAAAACAAAAAAGATTACTTCCAATCAAAAGTATTTTAATTTTTATAGCTTTTTATTTTCAACAAAATATTTGTTTCTAAAAAATTATATACATCCGCTATTAAACAGTTTCAATAGACAATTAGAAAAAAGTCAATTATTTTAATCTTACTTTTGTGGATTTTTCTTTTTGTTTTAAATTATATCAAATAGCTTTAATTAGAATTGATATAAACTTTGATATCATATTTTTCTTTAGAGTGTTGACAAGATTCTGAGATCAAATAAGGCTCTTCGTTATCTCTCTCTCTCTCTCTCTCTCTAAAATATATCCATTGCGTCTTGAATTTAATCACGACAATCGACTCAGTGCTTCTTCATGTGATTAAGCATAATCGTTCGCGTGACAAATCCCTTTCCGCACAGCGTGCAGGTGTATGGACGCTCTCCCGTATGATAACGTCGGTGCACGGTGAGCGTCGACGCCTGCGTGAACGATTTGCCGCACATGGCACAGAGATACGGTCTCTCACCGGTGTGGATGCGCTGATGCACCACATAATACTTGCGATGCGTGAAGCCCTTGCCGCACACGTCGCAGACCAGTGGTCGCGACCTGTGCACCGCCTTATGCGTGGTCAGTGATTCAGCGGTCGTGAATTGCTTGGAGCACGAATCGCAGGGGTAAGAAGGTATGGACTTGGCGGGGATCACCGGACCGCCGCCGACGCCGCCGCCTCCGGCAACACCGAGATTGCCAGCTACCATCGTATCGACGGGCGACGACACCGCGTTAGTACCCGCGACTATCCGATTGTCATTACTCGCCGGCAAAGGTCTGTGGGTTTTCGCGTGGTGATTGTACAAGTTGCGCGTCTCGAAGCGCATCAGACATCTCGGGCAGGAGTAGGGTTTCTCCTGGCCGATCTCCTGGTGCATCCTCCGGTGACGTTCCAGTAGCGTGCGATACCGAAAGGTGGCCTGACAGAGATCGCAGGCGAACGTTTTTTCCATGTTACCGCCACCACCACCACCGCCGCCGCCGCCGCCACCGGGCAAAGTGACGAGACTGGCCGAGGTCGACGCGCACGTGGGCACGGGCGCGGAATGCGTGACCTCGTGCATCCTCAGGTGATTCAGGGCGACGAAGGTCCGCGAGCAGACCGCGCACGAGTAACGCGGCTGATTCTCGATACCGTGCTCGTATTCCGGACGCGCGGTATGACTCGTTCGTATGTGGTAATTCAGCTTAACGACGCTTCGGAACTCCAGCCCGCACGTGGAGCAGGGATAGGTAAAGATCTGCACCTGATCGAGCAGCGACTGGTCCTGACAGACGGACGGGAAATGCGGGGGGAGTAACGTCGACGTTAGCATCGACGAAGGTTGGTTCGAGAATATCGAGTTGGTTTGTAGGAGATTACAATTGACGGACATACCGACCTCGCCGATCTCGGGCGAGGGCGAGAGAATCTGACGCAGCATCCCCGACAATCCGCCGAAGGTCTCTCCTCCTTCCCTGAAATTGACAAAACCCAAGGACATTGCAACGGAGAACGACCCGTGGGCACACACAGCTTTTTGTCTTTTGATTCTGTTTTTTTTTTGTGATCATTACAAGTATATCTTGCATACAGGCGGTGATGAGAGAAAGAGAAAGAGAAAAACAGAGAGATAGATAGATAGATAGATATTATGCTTATGTGAGTGCTGCAAGGTGGCCGGTGCAAGGTGCTTGGGCATTGCTGGCATCCCTGTCGAAACGCAGCAATAATGTGTTACAAGAGCGCACGTGCGAATCGAAAAAGTCGTCGCGGTTGTCGTCTAAGTCAAACACAGCATTGGAAGTTTCATCATCCGCTACGTGAATACTCATCAAGCTTTCCGAATTCATAAGGCTTACATGATAATATTTAAATATTATTGAATGAACAATATTACGATATGATAAAAATGACTTATTAGTTACGATACGGAATGATCTTGTAAACCTGTAGTCTCATGTCGAGTTAGTTAATAATAATCGTTTAAATTATAATTAAAGGTATGTACATAAAAGTATGTATACATATATATTATATATCCCCTAACGATACAGCAGAAGGGAAAAGTAAAGATAAATTTGGCAGAGTTCGAGAAAAGCAAATTTTTACTCAAAAGACTCACTAATAACTTAGGAACATGTTAAAAACGCATTAAATCAGGTACAGAAAAATCTCACCTTCATAAGTAATCCACTATGACATGGCATCTTCTTCTCATTTGCCCAGTGTAAAACGGACCATGATTTTTCACATGTATACTCGTGTCCAACACATTGTTTTAATGTCATTTTAACATATCACAGATGCTCGAAACAAGATAAAAAAACGCAATTAGAAACTGCGCAATAAGAATGGCAAAAGAGAAAATTGAATGTATTATTCAGTACTTTAGAGTGAAAAATGACAATGAAAATTTGGCGCATTAAGAGCACAAAAAATGCTATGCATCAATTTTTCATGTATCAAGGTACTCACAACTGAACAGTACAATTTTCTCTATTCACAAAAGCATAAAAAAAATCCATGACAGAAAATGGCATTTAGAATATGCCCAAAATATTACGAAATGTATATCAAATACTGCTGCCAATTCAAGGCGCAACAAACATTTAGCAAGATTTTCGCACACTTTATTTCGAATGCAAAAAACCGGCGCAAGTGTAATGCAAGCCTGGTTTACCATTCGTTAAAAAAATTATCCCTCGCGATATATTTTTTGCACTTGTAAGAGCGCGCAAAATAATACGCGCAATTCAAGCAATGTGCGAGTACGATAAAATATAATTTGTAATAACATCGTGTCAAAACATTTAAGAGAATCAAATTTAAGAGATAAATGGCATCGCTTAAACTTATTACAAATAACGATGCAAATTCGCGTAACGACATTATTGATACAAATCCGCAATAATTTCTTTTGCATATAACAGATAGTTTATAAATAAAATAGAATATAAAATGTAGAAAAGAATGATACTCGCCTTTGTGTTTACAATGTGAAAAAATCCTCTTGATTCGGCAGTCTCTTAACGGACGATTTGTTCTTTTGTTTTGTGGAAATCTTCGAATCGGAAGAAATACGATCCTTCATCTTCTTCAACATCGAGATTCTTAACCATTCTTAACCGATTTGTTTTTTTTTTTTCCGGTTATTATACACTATTGCGCAATTACTTTATCGTCCGGCAAACACCGGTTCGTACGCAAAATTTATTAACGATCTCGTGGAACACGAATTTTTTTTGCGTCAATTAAAAGGTAACTCTTAAGATTAATCGCAACATTAATATAAGTAATACAGTGTCCTGGCAATATCGTAAAGCGCAGGCGTCGGAAAGCACGAAGATTATAAATCAGAAGTAGTAGATGTACGTTGCATCAATTAAAATATCTATCGTCTGTGATTTTTGGATCGGCCGAATATCGGTCATGTGCGGCATTTAGTGCCATCACGTAAGCGTGGGAATATTAATATCGACAACATGTAAACATTTGATTTCTGAGTGGACAGAGAGATCAGGCTGGTTTCTCTCAGACATCGTTACTGCTGGACGAGAAATTAATCCCTTTCTCTTATCAAGTATGTGGATAATCCAGAGAAATCCCTCTATCCCTTTTTTTTTGCACATATATAAATAATATCTAACATAAAATCCATTTCGATTAAAGTATAAAATTAGTACGAAGTATATATCTTTAAGGTTTAAAGAACAGCGTTAGAAAAATTGATATTGAGATTGTTTCATCGAAATGCACTCTATGTACATGCTACCACATGTAAAAGTAGTAAGGTGCTTAGCAATTTGTATTCTAAACTCAATTACTCCTTTTAAATTTGTTTGAATTACAAAATCGTTTAAAAATAATGTATTTATATATTATATATAGAAGATAATTTGTATAAATTGCTAAACACCTAGGGCCAAAGATGGTTGTGGGGTGTGTCCAAACTTACCTTGTGTTCACCTGCGTCTTACATTTATAAGAATTCAAGCTCAAAATTATTATCTAATTATTATTATTATTATCTATCTTGCATTTGCAGTTCTAGCTTTGATAATTCTCTTTCAAGATTTATTACCAAAATTATCAAAATTTATATTAAAAAAAGCAATATGTATAATATACTTAAAAACAGAGCAGCAATATTCTCAGATATGCACATTAAATATTGTTTTTCTTAGAAATAAATATATTACGATGCTATTGGTAATTTGTTAGAATTATTAAAATTATTTTTCTATAATTTATTATCGTACAATATACATCATTAAATTTATTCCATTCATATCACTAATTTCATTCAAGTTTATGTATTTATGGTTATGTATATATTCAAGGTTATGTATTTATTTTAAAACTTCGAATAAAGTTGACGACAATGAGTCAATAAAACCAATGCAATGTTCATGTGATTGTGTATGTTTGCCACAACAATTGACACCTTTGGCCCTCAAACAGTAAAATAAGAACAGAAAACTCACCCAGTTTTCGGATCCACATCTGCTGTTTGTTGCATTACCATCTCGGGCATGTCGGCAATCTTCTGTTGCTGAAGTCCAGAAGGTCCTGCCTCGTCGCACGCCAAGGAAACGTTAACAAATGTCGTAGGCTCTATAGTTCTACTATTATTAGGATCTTCTTCACTTTCTTCTTTTATAGGTAGGCCTTAAAACAAAATTTCAAAAGTTTTTCTCTCTTTTTCTTATTTGGCCAAATTTTTTGCTATTTGCCTAGCAATTAAATACATAAGTTACAAGATGTAATGTCTAGTACAGATATATACCTTCATCTCCATCGCACTCATCGTCCGAGTTTTCATCCTCTTCACTGCTCTCCTCTTCTTCCTCTTGTTGCGTAGGCGCGTCAGTTTGATTTTGTGTAATTTGGTCGTGTGTCGTTTGTGTGCTTGGTCCAGCTACTGGTTGGACATTTTGTACAGAGCTACCACTGTTGTCCATAGGAACTGAGGTTATTTGTTGCTGGGTATTGCTCGACATCATCATGGGCATATTTAGACCCATGTTGTCCATCATACCCATATTCATATTGTTCTGATGTTCGCTTACTTGTTGCATCACAGTACCATCTAACCTGTTCTCGTTGCTCTGTTCTGGCTTCATTCCGTTCTGAAATTTAATGGAAAGCAAAAGGTATAAGTTTTATGTTTACAAAGGACTGAAAGTTTCAATAATAAACATAATATTAATATTTTGTCTCCTAATTTATTCAAATTTGTCTTTTTAATTATTACATCTGATCATCATATATCAAACATGACTATTTATCAATTACTCAAATTTATCAATTACTGAGTAATACAAAATTGAAAAAAAAATTGAAATACTTAAAAATATAAAAAGGATTAAGAACTTACAAGTGTACAATATGCAAAATATTATATCATTAGTTATCATCATTGCTAAGGTAAACATAGACAAAAGAAAAACTAAAACAAATGATTTTGAAAGGCCTTCTAGTTTCTACTACTGTACAGCATTATACAAGGTGTACATGGAATTTTTTCTAATGTTCGCCGAGAAAAATAATGAGACATTATTATAAATTATACGGAATAATATAAGTAATTACCGGATTGAGAATATTGTAACCCTGTTTGTCTTCCATGTTTACATCGCCTAGCCATTGCAGCAACTGTTTCTCGGCATTCGCCGTCGTATGCCAAAATTGATAACATAATTCTACTTTATACACACAGTCATCGCATATTTTTTTAGGTAATTTGTCTTCTCTGTTCACCTATAATCATAAAAAAAAATTTGTAAGACATAATTCATATACAAATGCACGAAATATTACATATATACATATATATATATATATATAAATATATATATATCAAAATTATATTTCTTTAATATATAACAACTAAAATTAAAATCAAAGAAAATTATATTCGCGCATTATTTATCGCGCCGATCCTCATTAAACTGTTATTTTTTAGATAATTATTCAAATTAGAGTTATTATCTATTTTACATATTACATTTTAATACAATTCATTAATATAATGTACATTAACGTATATTAGATTTATTAAATAACGTAGATTGCATAATATATTCATATTGTTATCGACTAGATTTCAATAAAATTGTGCTAAAATCGTCTTTCCGAAGCAACAAACACAAGAGACGCCATTAAACCGTGAGTGATCAACGAAAAGCTAATGGTCAATACACGCGTAGCGTTCGCTTCGCATTTCGATTCCTCTACCCATGCCTGTACATACTTGAACAAGCTCGGCGTGAATCGAGACCACGTTCTTACGATTACAAATAAACAAAAAAAAAAAAAATTCAAAGAATATATGGAAATATCGATCCGTGGGGTCAGCGGGGAGTCGGCGTTACGCGTTTCGTGAGCGTGGACAATGTCGGCGGCAAGATGTCGAAAACATCAACGGTCGGAGGGATCAATGGATTACGCGCGGTCCATCGCGAATTTTCCATCGGTCGGGTCTCTCGCGAGTAGCGGACGTCGTCGGCGTCGATTCGCGATCGAAACCGGGTGTATCCCTATCGAGCGACGTGTTTGCGAGGTGAAAAGCGCGGCAAAAGTGCGGTAGAATTATCAGCGGCATCACAAAGGCGACGGGCGACGACGAGCAACGAGGTCGGGTTCACACGCCGCGCGGACACGCGGCGTCATATCGCGTCGCATGTCGACGTGTCGCGGGGCTCTTCCCCGTCTACAGAGCGATTCAGAATACGCCCGAGAAACGACGAGGCCGGGATATCTCACGTCGCGGAGGTCGCGGATCCGCGAAAGGCGGATCGAAGCAAGATGGCGGAATTGCCGTAGCTGGTGGGCCGAATGGCGTAGTTAGCTTTCTTACCTTGACCGGCAAACAGGCGGTGATCTTGAGGAAGATCTGCCGCACGTCTCCCTCACCCCCGAAAATCGGCACGGAGACGCGGTCCTTCACGAGACACAGCCGGCACAGGTCCAGGTAGTCGAGGGAGGACATTTTACTGCGTAAAACGCCAGCTTCGAGACGCAAAGCCGCGCCCGTTGAACGCGTACGCCGTTCGCTGCGAATCCGTCCGTGTAGAGGGGCCCCGCGCCGCGCGTCGTTCACTACGCGTCGCTTCCCTAAACTGCACCTCGGCCGCGTCCGCCGCCCCTCGGCAGTCCCCGTCGGCTCGCCTCGGCCGCCGTCGGCGCGCCTCGGCAGCTTCCGTCGCCGCCCGACGGCCGCGTTCGCGTATCGATCGGTTTCGGCCGAAGCCAACCGCCTTTACACACGACAGTCCCGACTCACGAGCGACGCGAAGGTTCCTCTCCTTGAAATGCGAGTCACAAATCAATGCGGGACGACCATCCGATTTCCCTCTCGAAATCGGATTAATTTCCAATCCTGTACATTTCAGGTTTGTTCCCTCCCTTTCTCTCTCTCTCTCTCTCTCTTGCTCTTTCCTACCTAGTTGCCAAAATCGAAACGGAATCGTGAGATTTGAACCAAAATCAAAATCGCAGCTTGAACGTACGGTACGTACGAAAAAATGTTTTTTTTTTTTTTCAAATTAAACGCGAATACGCACGATTGCGTAGATTGCTACGCAGATTTCCACGAGAGAAATCCTTGGCTCCGTAAATTCACTTTTGAGTTTACGACGCCGATTGATTGATCGGGCAGGTGACTGGAAAAGGTCGTCCGAGTGCACGCTAGCTATGAAGTTTTCATGCTCAATTACTCCCACTTTACTTAGACGTTCAACGACGCATGATCAAACTGTGTAACGTCTATCAGCAAACAAAGAGACCGTAGAGAAAATGTTGATATATATTCACTGATTCATACACCGCCCTTTGTCTCCGTGGCGCGACGTACAAATTACGTGTATGTATATATATATATATATATATATATGTGTGTATATATATAACACTATAGTTTAAGCAATGTTTTGCGAAAACAATCGCCACTATCTTATTTAACGTTAAATTATAAAGGCTTAAAAATAAATCGAAATAAATTTCGGAGCAAACGTTATTTCCTAACAAAAAAAAATTGATTTATTTGTGTTCGAAAAGATTAAAAAATGCACGAATAAATAGCACAGTAAATATAACAGTAAAAAGTATATCTTATTTTCAACATTTTCCATTGAAAGAAATCTTTCGCCCTAACATCTCATTTTCCTTCCGAACTGAAATTTACGATACAGCACTGTACTGAAATAAGAGTAAAAAGGATTACAAAAGAAGGAGAAAGAACGTGTCACGTCCCTTCGTATCGTTGCGAACTAAGGTATTATCACACGAAACGGGGACAATGATTATCGTATCAAAAATGAATTTTAATTTTAGTTTCTTGTTCTAATCTATACACGCTCTATTAATTGTACTAAAATGGATCATTATTTTGAAAAATCTTATCATTGGTAAACCGTCCAGCGTTCGAGTGTGATACAAAAGTCTGTCGCTCAGTCGTGATGTGAGATTGGCTTTACTCTGACGTCGCAAAAGATATCAATGACCTCATGTGTCCTTCCTTACGCATGTACATTGCATTAACTGCGTTTTACTTCGATGATTCTTGAAGGAAAACGAATTTGCTCTTCATTAAAAATGTTTTTATTACTCATTTATTAACATCACTTTTTATTAATTATGTTTCATTTAGTATATTAAAAAATCTATTGTGTATACATATTTTTTACGCGCGTGCCTGAGGGAGACTTAGATTGGTCTTCATACTCTCAAGATTTGAATCTGTGTAATTTCTTTTTGTGAGAATAGGTGCCTACAAGATAATTGCTATACCGAAACAATAAAAGAATTGACCAGAGCTTTGAGAAAAGTAGTAAATAGCATTTCAAAAGAAATATACAAATCTTTCTTAAATTTCGAAAAACAACTTAATTCCTGTTACTGTTTGGACGAAGAGAGTTCTGAAGATGCATATTATTATAACATTGACAATATTTGACATTTTTATAAACAATTATTAAATGGTGAAAATATTTTCGATTGTCTTTGCTTTATATATATAAATAAAACTGCTGAGTGTTTTCTATTGAAAGATATTTTATTTTTCTTATTCATTAGGTGAGTTTAAAAATGACAGGTGATTAATTTCAGCAACTTTCATAGAATATTCTGTGTATATGTATATAAATTTTCATTATTATTTTTAGGAACAACATGCACATAATATAAGTGCACGTAAACTGTTGTCATATAATTCTTTATAATTAGACGAATGTTATACAATTTCTTAAATTCAATCTTGCAATTGATATCTTAATATAAGTTGTAGATTTTTATTGTGGAATCAATTAAAAATATCTGCATGTCATAAATTTGTTGTTTGTATAGGGAAAGTGAAAACATTACGGTATATAGTAGATAAAGAAACTGCTTTATTGTTACAGAGCGTATCGTTATATGCCAGCATATAATAGGAAGTCCATAATAATTTACAAATTCAAACGATCCACTTAAATGTCACATATGGCGGTATGTGCAGGCACGGAAACCGATCACTCTTTCACTGCGAGGGTAATAAATTATTTGAGTAAGTACACTCTTGATCAATGGAACGATTATTCGGTAACGCTTCCTATATTCTTTCCTTTTTTTTTCTCATACTTTTATTAGCACTTTATGTGAGGCGTTCATTTAACTTCGAATATCCTAGGATTTGGAAGGCCGTAGCGTTTAATAAAAATTTTCAAATTAATTTCTATGCTAAAGATAATAAAGATCGTAGTTTATTTAAAAGAACCAATCAAATAAGCATGTCAAATCGAAACTAAACGTTCTTGCATTTGTCGCGAACGAAGGTCTCCTATGCCCCTGTCGCATGTGCCCGTGTGCAAATAGTCTTGTCACAATTATGCGAAGCAGCGATGTGCACTGACGATATCTCTGAAATTAGAAACATTGATCGTGCGAATGACGCGCAAAATATGCAAAAATTTCTCAGACACATTCTCTTATTATGTTCTAAGTAAATAGATTGCAGCGCGCGAGCAATATATACCATTTCTTTAAGCAATTTTTTGCGAGAACAATCGCTACTATCTGATTTAACATTAAATTATATGAAGGCTTAGGAATAAATCGAAATAAACTTCGGATCAAACATCGTGTCTTAATACCAAATGCAGTTGATTTATTTGTGTTTGAAAAAATAAAAAATACATGAATAAATAACATTGTAAATTTAACATTTGCAAAAAATATATCTTATTTTCAACATTTATCGTTGGAAGAAACCTTTCGCTCAACATCTTGTTTTCCGAATTGAAATTTACGACACAGCACTGTACGAAATAAGGGTAAAAAGAATCACGAGAAGAAGGAACGTGGTATCACGTTCCTTTATACCGAACTAAAGTGCTGTCTTACGAAATGGACAACGATCGTCATATCAAAATTGAATTTTAATTGAGTTTGTTCTAACACGATCTATAAATAAGTACTGAGGTTGATCATTATTTTAAAAAAATCTTCGCTGATAAACCGTCCAGCGTTCGTTTGTGATATCCGTGATCCAATGTGAAATCGATTTTATTGACATCGCATTAAAAGATATTAATAACCTTCTGTTTCCTTCCTTACACTGCATTAGCTACGATTTTATTTCGATGATGCTTGAAGAAAAAATGAATTTGCTGAATTTGCTCTTCATTAGAAATGTTTTTATTATTAATTTTTTGACACCACTTTTTATTTATTACGCGCGTTTTATTCAATAGATAAAATCTGTTACGAGACACGTGTCGTGTCTGCACGCGCGCCATATGCTTTAAATCAAATTGACGAGATTGAGCATTGTTTTCATGAAAATCTGAATGCCTTCATTCAAGATGTTCAAGCACTTGATTATCTAAATAAAAAATCTAAATAATAAATGCTTAGAGTATCATTGATAGAAATTCTATGTCTTTTTTTGGAATTGTATTCTTATAAAATAACAATTCGTCAATTTGTTAATGGCACACGTGCTAGAATACAGCGTGTGAAATTCTCCGAAACAATGGAGTTATTTTTGAAGTTAGGGAATTTCACATAGTACGAATTATTTTTTCCGAAGCCCATTTTTGGCTGAATGGACGCGTTAATAAACAAAATAATTGGTTCTGCGGAAAATAAATATTTTAAAGATAATGCCACACAGCCCGAAATGATAGAAGAATTGATCAGAAAAAAGTGATAAATTGTATATCAAAAAAGGTGTTATACAAGATTTTAATTTTTAAAATTTTCAAGAGCAACTTAATTTTGTTTCTATTCTAACAAAAAGAATTTTGGAATTACATATTATTAAGTTTGAAAATATTTGATTTTTATAAACACTTATTAAATAATAAAAACATTTCTAATTGTTTGTTCTTTTATATGCAATAAAATTGCCAAGCGTCTTTTGTTGAAAGATATTTTTTTATTCCTTATATGAGTTTAAGGGGTCATGTCAACTTTGAGGCTCTAAAATGATACCTAAGTTTGAGATTTTTTTCTGGGTAAACAAATAACTTTATTTAAAAATTATTTTAAGGACATTGTTGTACATATATAATAAAATAAAAAAAATATTTTATTATTTTTTTAATGTCCAAAATGGCACACTGGCCTACTTGCCGAATGCCTTTTTTTAAAATCTTTAAATCGGTGTACAAAATTGCAGGCACACAGTTTGACCTTGAACAAAATATAAAGAATTTTCATTGTCTACATATTAAAAACTATGAAAGTACGTAGGGATTTTTCTAAATATTGATTTTTCTCGCAATGGCAGCTATTTTACGAAAAATTGTATTTTTCGGCAGTACAAGTCTTTCTTAAAGCTACCATTTCGAGAAAAATCAATATTTAGAAAAGTTCCTACGTACTTCTATAGTTTTTAATATTTAGATAATGAAATTTCTTTGTGTTTTGTTCAAGGCCAAACCGTGTATCTAGAATCCTGTACACCGATAGAAAAAAAGGGATTTCGCAAGTGTAGGCCGTGCGCCGCTATTTTGGACATAAGAAAAATAAAAAAATATTTTTTTAGATTCTTATATGTGTACAATAATTTTCTCTAAGCAGATTTTCAATAAAGTTATCTATTTACCCACAAAAAAATCCCAAGCTTTCGTAGGTAGGTATCGTTTTAAAACCTCAAAGGTCGCATGACCCCTTAAAAATGATAGGTGATTAGTTTCAGCAATTTTCATAAAATACCTTACATATTATATGAATTTTCATTATTATTTTTAGGAACAATATGCACATAAGTACACGTAAACTATTATATATTTCTTTATATTTAGACGAATGTTATATAATTTTTTAAATCCTTTTATCTCAATACTTTGTACAATACTTTCATTATGGATTCAATGAAAATAATAAATTTTTGCTGTTATTGTGAAAGGTATAATAATTGTTATTGTAATAGATAAATTTGTTGTTTGTATGGGGAAAGAAAAAAAATATTACGACAGAGTAGATAAAAAAAACTGCTTTATTGTGGCAGAGCACATGTATCATTATATACCAGCATATAATAGGAAGTCCATAATAATTTACAAATTACGATCCACTTAAATGTCGTTACACATGGCGGTGTGTGCAGGCAGGGGATTTGAGAACCGATTCCGATCACTCCCTCGCATCTTATCTTGAATCATTTTGCGCCCACTTATTTTTTTCGTACTTTCCTTGAAACTTTTGAACGTCAATTGTTAATCACGATCGTGAGTGGCTTTTCGAAGGCCCTTAAAGGGTACGCTATGTATAATACATGAAAACAAGAGATATGTAGTCACCTTTCCTATGGTTTTTCTTTTTCATTGAAATCATTAGTTATAGTTAGTCGAGGAACATTATGCAAATCTTGTTTTGCGTCTTACAATATTGCTATTAATATCGCGAACAATAATTTTCATATGTATTGAAGACACTGAAAGTTGTTTTTCTGTCAAAGTCTGGTTAATTACCCTTTTCCTGTCTTTTTTTTTAGCAATAAAATGGTATATTTTATCCCTCGAAAGTATTTTTGGTTTCTTTAAAGAAACCAAAGAAATAGCCGATTGATCGTCCTACTTGAATAAGCCGTTTAAATTAAATTCATTAGATGCAATCTTCGATAAACATTGTTTTAAATTCCATTGTTATTGAAAGGTATAATAAAAGCGTGAATTTTTACAAATTTTGAAGATACACCATCCGATAGTACAATCAGCGTACCTACTTTACAAACTTTTATTTCTTTTTTTTCCCACAACTTCAGAATCAGTAAGTCGATTAAGACCACGACGAAATTGCATTACTTCGATGCTTGTAGTTAATTAATTAATCGATTAATTAGTTTGTCAAATTCGTAACTATCGTACTTACACTTTACGCTATAACAATAATAGCAAAAATTGCGTGAATTTTTTAATCTTTTTTTTTTTGTTTTAAGTTCCGTATTCCTCTTCGATTATCTCGTAAATGTAAATTTACAGCTATTACAAGTATTATTGTTTATATTTGTGTAAGGTAACATTAATAGCAGACTCTCCCTCGTGCCCGTCACCTACTTAAATACAAAGTTAAAAATGCACGAGACTTAAATCTTTCTTCAAATCCGCGAAATGCGTTCCGCTGTGTGTTCCGCGCGTGTACATTTGCGTGTACGTGTGCGCAGAGCACGGTGGATTTGCGTCTGGCACTTTGCCTGTACTGTTGTTCCTCTCTGGATTTTTCCGGAGATCCGAATTAAAAGAACGCGTCAAAGGCTCGTGATTGGCGTTGACTCGATGTATCGCGAATATACATCGTCAGTAAAACCTATATACGTGTATCACGTTGCGAGGGTAATAATTATTTCGAGTACACGATCAATGAAACGACTATCGAACTAACGTTTCAATAGTCTTTCTTTTTTTTTCTCCCATAATTCTATTAGCGCTTCGCATGAGGCGTTCGTTTAACTTCGGACATCCTAGAATTTGGAAGGCCGCTGATGTATCGTTTCGAAAAAATTGTTTTTCAAACCAATTTCTAAGCTAAGGACCGTAGTCTACCTAATAGAACCGATCGAATAAGCGTGTCATGCCCGGACTAAACGTTCTTGCATTTGTCGAGAACGAAGGTGTCTCATATATGCCCCTGTCGTGTGTGTTCCCGTGTGCAGACGGTCTTGCCACGATTACGCGAAGCAGCGATACGGTGACGCTGCCGTAATCTTTGAAATTAGAAACATTGGTCGTGCGAGAGATGCGCAATATGCAAGAAGTTCTCAGACATCGTCTTATTACGTTCTAATTAACTAGACTATAGCCTGGGAAAAAAAATGATGTTACATCGTCAATCCGTCGGGATTTAAACTAAGCTAGCGTTGGTCATAAAATCGTTGAGTTTTTTTTTTTAGCATATCTAGGTACACACTTTGCGCTGATACGCCATCGATATCGATGGCAGCTCGATTTTAGGTAGCTGAACGACAAAACATCAAGTGGGAAAAGGCTTGGAAATGAACGTATTCCTACAGCGATCTCAACGAAGCGTATGTCTCACTCTATATCGTACAGTTTCCTCGTACGTAAGAAGTGTCACGTATGCTTCGATCTACTTCGACAACACTCCGCGCCACCATTCGATATTTTCTCGCGTGTGTTTGGAACATCAATGATAAAATGCAAATTTTATTTTTAGGAATTATGTAGAAGTGGAAACTGCAAGTGGGTAATCCTAGCGGAACACTCGATAATTATAAATTTCATTAAATGGTGTGCCGAAGATTGTCAAATTAGATGCGAAGCAAAGCGTCCCAAAACTTATGACAGAATGCTTTATATATTACAATATTTTATATATATATATTATTTATATATATATATATATATACAATTAATAAAAATTCTTTCGTGATGTAACAGCGCCACACAATTTACAATTATTATCGATAGAAACTTCATATTCAGTTTTATGGCCATTTATATTATAATAATGCGTGAAATTATATATTCTGGCTTTATCCTTACAGTACGACGTGTCAATCAAGACTAATCTCTTCACAAAAATAGGGAAGTCGCATGTAGTCGCACTATTCTATAAGTTTGTGAACTATTCGCCATGTTTATTCTGTATTATTATTAATTGTTCGTCGGCGTTCAAGAGAGATACACTACAACGAAATTCTTATTACGCAAAATAAAATTGGTTAATGTTTAAATATATTTTATTATCATTTTCATATTTTTTTTATCAAAATAATACAAGTAATGGTAATTTAAACGTATGTCAAGAAACTATGGCACTGCGGTATAATTACAGTGATGGCGTTACTCTTTTTTTTTTCTTTTCGGAATGTTGCATTCGCGTTAAACAATACATCATTTCATTCTGCATTTTAGCTAAATCGGTGTGAACACATTCCATTTGACGTTTGCTGCTTCGCGAAACACTTAGATGGATAGCCGTCGTATAGAAAATATTCTTAACAGCGAAATCATATTCTTTTAAAATGTCAAATTTTCGACAAGCACATCTCGAGAGAAATAACTTCGTAGATTATCAAGAAGTCAGTCACGTGATTATGGAATATTACAAATGAAATCATGTGTTGTTTTCATTCTTAAATTAAATTATGTTTTGCATCCGGATAATAATTTTACGTTCCCTAACTTAACAATTCGAGATCGAAAGCAAATGAGAAACCGTGATTTTTTTCCCCAGCTAATTCTATAGCCTCGATAATATAAGCTCAATTATTTGTTTTTATAGAATGTTACAATAAATATAAAATATTATATGAAAGTATATATAATCCTTGTATTATCTTAAGACGCTACGATCGTTCACCTGAGAATTAAAAAAATTGTATATCCGATTTATTCAAAATTTTATTTACGTTACGTGAAGAGTCTAGCAAAAGTTCGATAATGAACTAGATAATGAACTACAGAGTTTAAGAACAAATAGGTAACGTCGATCGTTTGAAACGGTAAAATATCTACGTGTGTTGTTTTTCGAAAAGGCTCGTGATCGTTACTGTCTATTTAGCTCAAACGAGTTGAAATGATGCATCAAATAGGAATGAAATGAACGTTACATCGACTATCGATTAATACAAGATGCATGGCTAATTACGCGTTCACTTAGTTTATCTTCGTTAAGTTTGTCTTCTTTTATTTATCCGCCTTATCTCATAAAAATCTTGTACGATCTACGCGATCGCGTTACTTTTTTTTTCTTTTACTACCTATATAATATATTACAGATTTAATTCGCCGTAATTAATGGTAATAAATGGGAGTAAATTCTAGCAGTTCTTATCTTCTTTTTTTTTTTTGTTCGTAGAGTAAAGGTATTCGTAAGTGAAATGGCATAACTGACAAACGGTCGACAAGTACGGCTGTTTCGTTATAATTACGCTTGCTCTCATAAAGAAAAATATTTTTTAATGTTTTATGTTAGGTTCCAAAAACAAAGAGTATATTTACGTTACTTACAATTAGAAATCATGAAACTACGGACAAGATCGCGCGCCGCAGCCTTTTTTAATAATCTGAAATGGTCAATATGTATAGCATTTATAAATTACACTTGGTCACGATGAGCAGTATCCTCGAATTGTCGACGTGTGATTCAAAGGTGTTTGGTTTTTGGAAAATTTCGATTGTGTGTACATAATGGAAACGCGTCTCGCGAACGTACGATTTAAATGACAAGAAATTTCCCCCACGAGAGAACTGCCGTACCGGTCGGCGTTTTTCCTGTGTAGACCATCCGATCGAATAAAGAAACGTCTTCTACATTTGGCTACTCGCACACGTGCAATCCAGTATACATCTTAAAAATATCCGAGTAGATTCTACTTCTCGATAAAAGGCAAGAGAATTGTTCCGCTTCGTGTTCATCCTATAATATGATAACGCATCTACCGGGAATACGTACTTGTCTCGTGTTTCGATGGATTGACTCTTCGTAGGTAGACTGTAAACGATCAAATTCGGGGGGAAGAGGGGGTGGAGCGAATTCGCGTAAAATTGTTTTCTTTCTCTTCCAACGCGCACATTTGTGTTCTCTCCGCAATCGTGTCCATCGGATCCGAGTGCTTCTTTTGCGTGCTTTCCACGAGACTTACGGCGACCACCTACTGAACTCTACAAATCTATGCGGCCGTGGCCACTTTGACAATCTCGATCTGCACTTAAATAATAATAGATGGAAAGTCGAAATTTTTGAGATGTAATATATATATATATATATATATTTATATCACGTACTCGCGAACTCGCTTGATAATAATCGTATGACGTATCTTACAAGTATGTATTTATACACATTATGTATCTCCGTAAGATCGGAACGCCCCGTGTGTGTCGTATACCTAAAAGTAGTTTTCTTTCTTTCCATACTTTATATTATATACAAATTGTAAAATGTCTTTTTAATGAAAAAGTCGTGTCGGTCTGTGTATATATCTCTTTTTTTTTTTGGTGTGTATTTATATCTCTGTATAGTAATATTTTTCTCTCTCTCCCACGAGAACGTGAATGTATATTTAGCATTCGCATTTTTTTTTCACGCATTCTTACATTTTTTTGCACACAGACGACATATTCCCATGCATACTCGCTCGCACTCGCTCGTGATTTCGCTCACCGACATTTGTACCCCGTCGCACATTCGCTCCCTTTCGTCCTTCCCACGCGAACGCGTTTTTCGTGTCTTCGCAGAGAGTACCTCTCGATCGCAAGATACATAATTATCCCCGCGCACAGCCTTTTGTACATGCGTGTGTGTGTGTGTGTATGTGTGTGTGTGTGTGTGTTTGCGTGTGTCTTTTCAAAGTCAGTTCACCGCGTAATCGCACCTGCGACGTGATTCCAACATTACTTCGTTCTATTCGTAGGACTACTCTTAAGGAGGTGAATAAATATGAGAATATCAGAAAGCGAGCGCAAGGATTATACTCGCTCGGTACTCTAAGCCGGTACTCTAGCTGATGTTCGAAATCTCGAGCTCTAATATGTGTATTATACTTTGAGAGTATTATACTTGTCACGGAATGCGATCGAATTTTTATTTCGAGGAAAGATTAATCTCAAATCGGCGAAGAAAATTGTTAAATGTAAAAGGAGACGCGAGAGCCTGTACTTATTTTTTACACGTTATATTTCAGCAAATATCCTTACACATGTAATATTCCTTCTCGCGAAAAATATAATAACTTCGGCTAGAAAGGATTGAAGATAAACTTATCATTAGGACTAAAAGTAAGCTACGTCGCTACGGACTTATCATATCGGTGTAGAATCTCATCGCACGTCGCACTCAATGATGCCGGCGAACGACACAGCCATTTATCTAGAGCGTCAGAACGGAAAGCCACGTCTCTCGGCATCCCGAGCCCCAATTCTCGCTTTCTCACTCGTCGTATTCTCACTCGGTGGCGGAGACGCATCGGAAATTCATTCATCGCACATCGAGTATCCTAATATTTCTCGGCTACGCGAACGTGAATTAAACTCGGATACGATAGCGAAATGGAAGAGTTATACGTTGTCGCGCGCGGGTACGCGCGTCGCGAAACGACAAGACATTTTCGTTGAGGAGAAGCATCCGGCGCCGTCGTTACTCCGCGATCCAAATTGTACAGTTCCAGCGATCCGATTTCTAACCGATCCCGATCTCTCGACTATCTATACAAAATCTTACACTCGCTCGACGAGAGCGGAACGCGAAAAAGGGAGAGAGAGAGAGAAAGAGAGAAGAGGAGAAAGAGAGAAAGAGCGAGAAAAAGAGAACTCGTGGCGGTGATGATAGCGCGTCTCGACGACGATTGAAATTCGTTGAAGTCGCCAGCTGCCAGGCAGAGGCACACGCTCCCCTCAGACGGACACCCGCCGCGGCTGCTCGTGGTAATAATTCTGCTGCTCGTCCAGGAGTATCGCACTCCTCGCAGCAGAGCAACGTCAGATGCTGGCGCGGTGCTGATACAGCGGCGGTAACGGCAGCAACGGGACGAGCGGCGGCGGCAACGGCTCGCCGTCCCGCACGCTCGACGACGCCGACATCTGTTGCATCTGCAGCAAGTGCGAGATCTTGCCCGGCGAGCGACGCACCGTGAAACGCTGTCTCCGTCGCTTCCTCTGGAAGCCGCTGCATCGGCAGCTGCACACCGACGCCTCGTCGTCCAATGACATCACGTTCCCGTGATTGCCAAGTTGGCCGGACAGTATCGAGCCGTTCGCCGTTATCACATCGCCCTCGAGACGCACCGCGCCCTGGGCCGCCTAGAGGAGAGGGTGCGAAGATGCTCGATTAGCGTTCTCACGAATGGACACTCGTTGCAATGGAAATAAAAAAAAGTCTACTTAATAATGCTACTGTAATCCGCGGACATTACTTGTTAGATTCACAATTATCAACGAGGCGAAATGTGCAGAGAGTTTTATATGAAAGTATCAATTCGTAAAAATTTTTAAACGAAAGAAATGACAATTAGGCAATATTAAACATTCGGCAAAATAATAGATGAATTAATGTATCTTAGAGATACGGATGACTCGTACCTGTAACGCTTCGGCTTCGTCTCGTCTTTCATCCTCCGTGTTCATAGTCACGAATCTCAATACCAGCAAATTAAGCGAGGCCGCCACGATCGCCAAGCCGAAGAGAATAAATATTAGGGCGAACATCACGTACTCGGGCTTCTGGTTGAGCGCGTTGTCCTTCTGCAGCGCGACCATGTCGCCGAAACCGATTGTCGTCAAGGTGATGAAGCAATAGTAAATGGAATCGAAGTAGGACCACCCCTCGTACCTGGAGAACGCGGCGGCGCCGCCGGCGATAGTCAGGCACGACAACGTCGTTACCACGCAGATGAGATTTATCTCCGAGGCCTGCAATACGTCGCGTGTTAATTTGTAAGTCCAAATTGCATTACATATGCATTACATGTATCGTGATAAATGCCTAAAGAACGATTCGAGTAATTTGATTTTCGCTACTCGAGAGAAGATGGTACTCGCGGTGTCCCGTGGGGAATCTATCGGATTATATTATTCAATTTGAAATAAAGAAAGTATACGTAGGTACGTATTATAGATTACCTTTGTGATAATGATTAAAAAATATTAAACAAAAACAATTTGAATAGAAGTCACGTTGGTTATTAAATAATTCACAGTATTATAAATTGAATGTTATGAATTCGCGTTGGTTTTTACAATATATGTTTCTCACGCATGTTAAATGAAATAAGTACTGAAATTAATATTCTTATAACATCTATTTCTAAAATATAATTAAAAAATATATACTTAAGTTTAAATATCTACATTCTACATTTACTTCGTACAAGATTCTGCTTAAAATTAATTAAACGGATTTCTACAATTCAATCACTTTACATTTGAATTGCTGCAGTCCCGCTATTTTGTTTATCCCGCTTGCCATTTTGAGCAGGAAAACAATTTCGTGCATGTTTAATTAACTTTTATAATCTATTGTGCGGAAGTTCCGCACGATTTTCGTGCAGCTCGTATATTTGTCTCGAGAATAGAAACGCGCCTGAGTCCCATTCGAATCGTAACATTGGAACACGGAACCCCCGACGACGAAATACGTAGCTCGAATAAGCTTATTGTTACCTGGACGTCCCTACAGTTTAGAATCGTCTTTATGTTCCGTATTACGACTGACGAGAACTTATTCACGCGTTCTCCTATACTCTGGAACATTACGAGTCCTAATGGGATACCGATGATCGCGTAGCACATCGTGAACAATTTGCCGTATATGGTGCTCGGCGTCGAGTGTCCGTAACCTGAAATATAAATAAAATATAAATGAAATGCAAAATAAACTTTGACATGATTCTCCGACTTTCGCGCGCGATCGAAACGGGAAACGACACCCGTATTCCACGGATTATGAATATAGTCGCGACGTTTTGTGCGAAACCGCAAAACCTCGCGCACAATGTGCGTCTGTGTTATCCTCTGTCAACCGATAAAAACGGCTAAATCGATTAAAACGCACCGGCGAATACATGACGATCCATTTGTGCGTTGCACACAACAATAACTTTCGATTTCGAAATCGTTTATCGAAAAAACTCGTATGAAATCGAAAAATTATCTTTCGCGATAAATGAAAAAATTGATACACGCCCGAAATATAATATAGAAAAAATGTTTGTTCTTCCTATTTACAAAAAAAAAAGTGGCAGTCGTTTAACACTTATAAAGGTTGAAAGCGATCCGAATTGCAAATCAAACTTGCTTTTTCCAAACTGTCACATTTGGACGCCCGCCAAACGGGTTATCGAGCAGGTTTTCAATGCAAATGGATAGTAACGCAGCAGTAGTTACGCGTAATAAACTCGGTTTGAACATCCGACGGTATTCGGGGCAACTTTACAACATGTATACCTATCGTGGTGAGGACCGTTGTGGCGTAATAAAACGCGCCGGCGAACTTCCACTGTTGGCCAGCTTTGTGAGGTTCTGTCTTCAGCACCACTGTTTCCATGATCTTGAAGTCGTCCGCGCTTATATTGTATTTTCGTATGACCATTTTCTCGACGGCTACGAACAAAACGGACGTGGTGATTAGATTGGTATATGTATCTTGCAATTTGCGATTGAAGAATCACGAAAAATAAAAGTAATGCCTAAAAGTAATAATCGCGCCCATTGTTATTTATATTATTTATATGACAATTTCATGAAAGAGAGAGAGAGAGAAAGAAAGAGACGAATGAATATATCATGGAGCTAAATAAAATGACTAATGACCTCTGAACTTTTCAGACCGCGCTTTCAAAGACTCTGAGAACAGATGCCTCGTACATCGGGACGACGATAACTCGATACCTTTAATGAAAATTACGTATCAGGTAGGCGCAGAACCGTCCTTCCCACGAATAAAAGCCACGGCTTGTCTTTGTGAAAAAGAGAAGGGAAGCACGGCAACGCGCGCGCGAATCAGCTACTTCATTCTATACTGTCACCAGGATTTATAAGGCTCGCGGGAGACGGTATTTATCAGGCGTTTTCGAGCCATCAGTGGAGACAATAGTCGCGACGTTGTAAGATCATTCCCCTTTCACGAGACAGTGCAACGACATTCTTCTATTGGGGAGGTGCCTCTCTGCATAACGTATATCCCCGTCTCCCACAAATACCGCCGTCGCCGCATACACGATTACACACTAATGCTCCTCTGCACTCGTACATAGCGCACGTTGCTCGCTGTATGGCTAAGTAATCTACGCGAATGGCAATAAAGGGGGACTTAGGGAAACCCCAGACAAATGCCTAGAAGCATTGTAGAAATGCCTGACAGACGCTTCAATCCCTCCGATGATCTTTCGAAGTTTTCAGACGTCTCTTAGACTTTGTTTACTTGAAGGCTCCATTCAATGAAGTGCTTTGTCAAAGCCAGATCAAGAGAGAACGAAGGATCTGTTATATATATGTCACGTTGCGTAAATAAAAAGTAGAAGTTACATAAAATACTTTACATAAAATCTTGCATACAAGATGTATTTTCTTGTTAAAAAAAAATGATATTAAATTAACTATCACGTCATATTCGATCTTATGTATTATATTTTTCTAAATCACGAATAAAAGTCGATAAAATTCATTTCGCGATGTACAGTATTAACTTATAATTCAAATCATTTACTGCGAAAGTCCAGTCATTCCTGCAAACACGACATGCCGCGTCTATTTCGAAATGTGCAGAGCACGCGAGCGACTCGACTTTACTTACCATCTAACGCTTCTTTGCGTAATTTCTCCGTCTCGGACTCGAGCACGTCGAAGATCGCAGCACCGACGAGGAGATAGGTAAGCGTGAAGACGATTAATGATAAAGTCCGGACGTTTTGCTTCTTCATTCTCTAGTGAGCCACATGCTCACTAGCAGGGCCCTGGCCCTAATTACTCGCATCGCTCAGTGAGATACAATTTGGGTTGCCGGGCCCATTACGACCCCCCTTCTTTCTTCTCCTTCCAAAGTGATACTTGACGAGGGCCCCTCTCTTCCTGACCGAACGCTACAGACTTGGCACGCGGTCCCTTGTCCTCAGGATGTCTGCTTCCTTGCCGCAGCAATCGTGCAGTCGTTTTCGTTCATCTGAAACTGTCGCGTCTGCTTGTCAAAGCGTTCGAAACTATAAAAGAGACGCTGATACACAGCGGGTTTATTAATAAAAATCAGATCGACAATAAATTTCCGATGAAATAAGAATCAGAAACGGAGATGTGTGCGGTAATTGGAGCACCGAATCGATTTCATGGCGACCGAAAGCGAGCCAATGATACGGATGAAATTTACGAATCTGCTCCAGCAATACTTGGCGTTATTTTTAAAGATGTGGGTCACTTAAGAATGAACCGCGAAGATTGAAATCGATTTCATTGAACACTTTTTCCTTCCCTTCTCTGCCCTCCCCTCCCCCCCCCCTCCTCCGTCTTCGGGTTCGTTCTTTCGGAATCGCTTTTCTAACTTGAAATTCAAATGCACGACGAAAAGGTATGATGGTTCCAAGCGATCAAGCGAGAGAAATGACCAGTTTTTAAGACCTCCCTTTTTCCTCATTGACGTAGCGAGACTATTTCACCGATGAGGATTGGGCCGAGCAAAAAATGTGCTGATTTAGAGGGAAAAGATTTAGCTCACCTGCAACTTGTTCCGGGTTCTCCTTTAGGTACGACGAAGAGTTGAGCAGAATGATATGGCAGTGCTTTCGCTGCTCCCACTGCCACGTTCCCTCCATTCCTCGGCTTAGCACCCCACGCTTTCAAAGCTGACTAAACAACAAAAAAAAGATAAAATTTTGATGAGTGAAAAAATACATTTTGCCAAGAAATTGGTTCTTGATAATATGTACATTCGAGGAGCGATGTCGGGTGGAATTTTTCATCAATATTTGCTGATATTGTTCTTCGCTTAAAATTTCTGATATTAAATTTCCGTTATTTGTCGGAAAAAAATACTGGAATTGAGCAAACAAGACAAAGATTTAACGCATAACGAAAAAAAAATCGGCAAGCGCGTATGAATGTATATATTTTAAATACCTATGTATAAAAATGTTCAAGAGAAGCGAAATGAAAGTTATCGTAAGTGTAGTAGAACTTTATGTCGGTCAGGGGGAAAATGATCGAACAAACGATTAGAATTGTTTTGAATGTGGATTAAAGTGGATTTGGGATGTAAGAGTTTCCCACTGGCTTTTACCGGGATTAATTACCCGATCCAATTGAACTCTTTGTTATCCATTAACTCATTAAATGCTTCCAGCTAAGCGTTATTTGAGAAAGCACAATCTGTAAAATCTACGTTAAGATCAATGAATCTCAACAGGAATAGTATAGGTACTCTCATGCCCTTACAACGTAAAATAATCGTCGATGACATATTATTGCAAGATATCCAGCAAGTATCTGATTCTCGTGTATTTATATTTAACATACTCATATTGAATACATGTAATACCAAGATTAGATAGCTATATATACAGCAGAACAATTTACATAGCGAACACGAGCGATGTTTCCATCAAAGATTACAACCTGCGGTAATTTCGGTGAGTTTGGATACGCGTTTATTCATGAAACTGGAAGCGCAAACAGCGGAATACACATTTTCCCAGGATTCAAAATTAAACTCATCGAAATCGTGTCGATTTCAGTCATGTTGATTTCTACTAATATCCTCCGCATAGCGCTATTCTGGATTGTTAGGATAAATCTTTCACATATGTGCTCTGTGTTTCGTAAGTTCATTCCTTGTGCGTACTATTTACAAAAATGAAAAAAGAATATGAACAATTTCATGTCCTTACATAAAATGTATAGGATATTCCGAGTTCTCGCTGTGTTTTTAGGCACAGTTTTCACCTATACAATTGCAATAAATATGAGATCCAATGTAATAAAAAGATTTAATCGTAAATTTAAACAATGAGGTTAATTGGAAAAATAATTAATATTTCTTTATTTAATAGAGATCTAATATGGCAACACAGAGATTCTCATAAATCAATTTGATAAAAATAAACTATTGAAAAAATTTATTGTACATAAGTAATATTCATATAATAAAATATGTAAACGCGCGCGCACACGCGCGCGTGTATGCGTATGCATGAGAAAGAGAGAGAGAAAGATGAGACAGAAAAATGAAGAGAAAATTTCGCGAGCGAGTATCTAGTAAAGAAATTTGTGAGACTGCTCATCATCCATCCAATTCGAGATGAGTTCTGGTAATTCCGTAAGCAATGAGTCCAGCAACGTCGAGTCAAATTAAATTTTCTCGAATCCCTTTTCCCCTCTCTTTCACTCCTCTCTTCCTCTCTCTTACCCACTTTCTTTTTCTCCTTCTCATGGTTTAAATTAACGTTTGCGCGATAGTTGGTTAGAGATTGGCGGCCTGTGTTTTATTGAATTTATGATAAATTGCTTCCGAAATTCTCACCCACTATGCGAGCGACGTTGTGAAGTGAGGAGAGAAAAAGGGGGAGAGGAAAGGAGAAAACCGTCTTCGCACATTTAACCCGTGAAAGAAGAGGTCGCGAAAATCCCTTCGTGAATCAAGGTAACGACCGTGATTAGAATCGCGGCGATTCCTTTCACGAGGGAGAGAATCTGCTGAATACATTTAAATCTGATGCTCGCGACATTAGCGCCGGTAATGATCGATGAATGTACAAATCTGACACGCCAAAGAGGTATATTCGCATCTAATCGAATTTTTCTGTTCGGATTGAGATCAAACAAAAAACAAACTGAATCAGTCCTTGCTGTGAGCAACTTGGTTAGATTGATTGAGTTTCTTTTGAGTGAAAAGAAAGAGAAATAAAAACTAAATATTATTTTATTATTACTTCGCTTTAATAATATTGTTTGTTCACCATTTATTAACATTATCTATTTAATTGCCTCTATGTGGTTTATGCTCAATGTTTATGTATGCAAAAAATTGTCTTCTAATATACATAGGTCTAACATATATCTTGTTTTCATCATCTTTTTTCTCATATATAAAGAAAAAAATAAGAATATTTTATAGTTATACATTTAACAAAAATACGTAGAAATAGACCAATAAATGAACAATAATTAATAAGCAAAGAGTGTCTGTTTCGGTCAAAGTGGAATTGGTGTCTAATATTTTTGTGTGAATTTTTATACAATTTACAGTTCATGCAAAGACCGCGCCGATTATTTGTCGATCATGAAATACAGCCCTAAACTGCAGCTACGTAAGTGCGTAATATTACAAATTAAATTGATCAGCAATTTAATATCGATGCTAATAGGCCTCTTAAATCACTATAAAGGATTTATTGCGAAAAGTATCACCCTAGTTAGGGTAGTACGAACCTGGAGTTCCCTACATTTCCTACATTCCGTGACGGGAGTTTTCCCTACAGAAAATTATAAATTTAAAGTTGCTTTCATATTTTTGCCCTAACTACGAAACTTCGCGGCAGTAATTCTTAATCAGAGGCAGATAAATTCCTTAGGGTTCGAAACGTCCCTTTTAGAGATCATCGTGACAGATGCCTTAGCCCTAAAGGGTAGGCCTTAGAGGTAAGGATGATTGACGATCTTATGCCCGGGCGATTTTTATTCCTTATTAATGTAAAGAAAACAAAGACGAGCATTTCTCACAGGGGAAATATATATCTTACATTCGCTTAACCGAAAAAGTCAAGGACCCGCTACTTTGAGGGAAGATACTTCGCGATTCTACACCATCCAGTCATTATCTTGTGATAGGATCTTCATTGTTACACCCTTGGATAGGTCGCGAGTTTAATAACACCAGTTAGCTACCGTATACCGCTCGCGATGCTCCCTAATATCGATTATTGTGCGCACGATTCTGTAAAGGGTTGTTGCGATAACGGCTTATTTGCTCCACTGAATCAACGAGAACAATAAGCCGTGGTAGACAAGGAAAGGACGACGTGCCCGCGATCGCCCACGCGGCACTACCCCGAAGACAAAGAATCTTCCCAGAAGTCTGCTAAGCGGCAAATCAAATTCTCATCACTTGAAATTTGCCTATTGTGAGAAATGCGAGAAATCTTGTTGCACAATGATAAAGAGACCAATCTATTTTTTTTTAGATACACTCGAATTTCGAAACTTAAATGCATGTAATTTATTACTGAACAATACGATCACTATAGTATACTTACTGTTTTGAATTATTCTGACATAAAAATGACATAAAAGAATAATAAAGTTAATACGATTTAAAATTGGATTAAAATACAAATTAAAATTAGAACTCTGAAAATGAGACTGAATGTTTCGCCTCCACACCTGCTATGTCTATTAAATTCTGTTTTAAAAAAAACGTGGAAATATCATGAGTTTTTTGTACTGATACAGTTTTTATAATAAAATCCGTGCAATTTGCTTTGGAGGCAAAAGGTTCATGAATATCCTTGATTGAACATCAACAAATACCATTTAAATTGATAAAAAATGTATTAATATATAGTAATAATTAAAATATTAATCGCAGTAATAACGCAGAATAAATACAGTAAAAACATATATATATATTTAATTTTATATAAAAAATACATATAGATTATCAGTTTTATTAAAATGCTAATTAAAATGCTGCGTTTTATTAATTTGCTAAAAATATTTAGAAATCTATAAATCAAAAAATGATTATGATTTCAAATTAACTTTGTCCGTGCTTATAAATGTTCCCACGACGAAAAACAATATATTACCATAAACAAGTCCTCTGAATTTCGTATTTCCTCATTTATTCTCGCGAGTAAGCCATAGAAAATCAATAAGTATCAATAGCGAATGAATCAGTGCGCGCCGTGTAAACGTTCGCGAACTCGATCGAGATATATATCGGCATATTACAAGGGTCGGCCGTATTTCATGTTACATTACAGCGCGAACTTAGCGCGGTGAGAATCGTCTTTGCCGCCGCGAGCGTCGTGGGAATCCGTCCGACTTCGGACAAATTTACCACGTGATTGCGTTTCATGTTTATCCACATACGAAATCGCGAAGCTCGCGCGCGGTTACCTCTCCCACGGGGTGCTGCGTCATATGCGGCGTTACGGATTGCCACTGATACTTTCGCGATCGGTCGTGCAAATCAAACTTTCATCAAGCGCGAAACGTACGGGATATGCCCTTCGGATTTTGCGCAATGATATTCTCGCTTCGATATAATAGAATTGGAATTTACGACAATCGATGTATTTGATACACAGCTTTTATTGTGTTCAAAAAGAGATTTTTCCAATAATCTTAAAATATTAGAAAAAAAGTTCTTGGTGTCTCCCAATAAATCTCGATTATCGTTTAATGTGGATTATTCTCGTGATTTGTTCACAATAATAACTATTAAACGTGAAAACTTTTGATAATGAGAAAAGAGAACGAGGGAAAAGAGAATTTTCCCCATGATTCTCTACAACTCTACAATTTATTAATGCATATTGCAAAAGTTAAAGTATGTAATATAATCGTGATATGTAATGTAATATGTGTGTGTATAAAATAATAATTATTATATTATAAATAAACTAATATTATAAACTAAAAACTAGATAATAATTTTATATGTATGCGTGTGCATGCGCACGCGCGCGTGTTGTGTATAATGTGTGTGTGTGTGTATGTGTATGTATGACATATGGTAGAGTCAGAGTGCGCACAAATCCTTACACGTGCAATTGCAATTCCTTGAAATTCCACGAAATTGTGGCACGTCTGCCCGGTGTAATATCGAAATTGCACGTGCGATGGGTTGTAGCAATCGATTGCGCGGAAATAGCACTTGCTCTAATTCGTGCGAATCTCGCGAGTAGCAACATCCGGTTCTTCTGGTAACTTTTAGTTTTCACAGATGTTAACGATAATAGTCACCATGCCTTGGCGTTCAATATTGGGATACATCGATTAGTGGAGCCACGCGGTACATGCATAATTAAAATCGAATTATCAATCAAAGTCTCCATTATCGTCGAAATGTATTAACGGTATGGATATTAAAGCTGAATTAAAATTATTGCATTTTCCTGTGAGGGTAAATCAGAAAAAGTCTCGTGTATGCCTCGTAATGCAATAATTTTAAAATGTCATTAAATTATTAATTAATTATTTTAAATATTCATCACAGTTACACAGGTAAAAAGTGCAAAATTGTTACACGGCTTGGTATAATTAGCATGTCAAATGATCGGCGATCAATATGAATTTTATTGTAGAATATTAAAATAGTTTCTCAAATGTAACTGCACGAAGTGCTTAAAATCCTTTTTACATTTCAACATAAAAATTTAAGAATCTTTGCAATATATTGAATGAAAATTATTGCGTTTTTCTGTGGGCACAAATTAGAAAAAATCTCGTGTTTTTAATTGTAATTAACTCATTAATTAATTATTAAAAAAGTTCTCATTACAGTTATTCAGATAAAAAGTGCAAAACTGTTACACGGTTATAATTTGCATGTCAAATGATCGACGATAAATATGAATATAATGGCAGAATATTATAACAGAGTTTTTCAAATATGACTGCACGAAGTTTGTTTTAAATCTCTTTTATAGTCCATATAAAAATTTAAAAACGTTTGCAACATTTCATATTAATACGATATTAATATATGCAGGGAATATGTGCAATATTATCCCTGTTTATATACATGCGCTCTCTCGTGAAACACGAGCGTCCGCGAGGATAAGTTGGTGTTTCATCAGCTCGACCCCATCTCGCAGATATGCGTCCGTCGTCATGCGTTTCATGTGGCGGGCGAATGTAGAAGTCATTTTCCTTAAGTCGTGCACCGCGAGAGAGTATAGCGGGCTACCCAACATTATCGGCGCTCATGCTCGCTCGATGGCCACAAAACTCGCGCGGAACTTCCGGCGTAATGAAACGAGGTCAAAGCATCAGATGAAGCTCCCGCATTTCGCCGCGTTGATCCTTCCTGTGCCCTCCTTCCGCCCGAGCGCGGCCACGCGCTGTCGCTTTCGCCAAGCACGAGAATACAAACCGCGCGCGTTCGCGTTCCTTCCCGATTCAATTACATTAGAGGACGTCCGGGGACCTTTCTTCTCTTCCCGTCTCCACCGGGGATGATGCCGTGCTCCGGCTCACCTTCGCCGACGTATAGCCGACCCTTTCTCTCCGTTTTTTTTTCCCTCCCCTTCTGCCTACGTCGCTTGCCTTTTAAAGTGCCGTGCAAACCCACGATAAAGTCGACGGGTCTCATAAATAAATACATTCCGCCACAATATGTTCGCCCAGTACCTTTCAATAAACTTTTAGTATTCAGCTTATATCGTCCCGAGAGGAAATACATGCATTCAATGATTAAATGTCGTAGGTGCCCAACTCACAATTTGTGATACTTGATTGACGCGCAGAATCGTACTTGCAAAATCTATATTTTTCTGGTACAAATGAAATATTAGATATGATAAGAGAGTTGTTAATTGTATACTTAAATATTGATCGTACACGTATGCTGTTCAATCTCCGTTTGACAGCGTTTCTCTCTAAGAGAAGCGATGTCGGATTAAAATCGCTTTCTACTACTGTGGATGATATACAAGTTTAACCGTACTTTTTTCTCCTCTACTATTCCTCTTTCGCAAAATCACCTGTGTTAATAAACTTAAGTCAAATAAAAATTTTAATGCAATAAAGCGAGCTACTATTTATGGAACTAATTTGTAATAACAATAACACATCGCGTAGTAATTTCAATGATCTTATTATGTACGTTTAACCGTTTTGTCCCGAGAGGTATTTTTAGACTTAGGCTCTCTCAAATACACGTGGCATTACCAATACAGAGAAGCACGGATAGGGTTGAAACAACCTCTGTACAACAGTTGTGAGTGCAAAAAGCGCGCACGGCATCGTTTAAACGCTGTTGGAAATTCCACGCGTCATCCGACGCGGCTATACACGTACGTCTTTTTGTTGTCTCGCTACGAGAAGCAGGCATAATTTCGTGGAAGAGGTTAGTAACCCCTATATACGTTTGTATCACGACGGGTGGGGAGGGTGGCACTTCGGCTCTTTTCAGGTCGACTGGACCAGCCGAATGATTAATGGGCAGACATTGAAAAAAGAACTTTCATCCATCTTTCGTTCCCCTATCCACCTACATTCTCCCCTCTGTCTCTCTCTCTCTCTCTCTCTCATCTCCTTCTCTCTTCCCTCCACTTGTCTCTCGTACGTTGCCCTATACGCTTGTCCAAGGACGCACGCGGTCATCGCGGAGAACAGCAAAGAACAAAAATGCTTACAAGGGACAGAGGGATGGGCGGATTTATCGTGGGGTATCATTTGCAGGGTGCGCTTGACAAATTTTGGATCCCCTTAACTGTTCGAGAGTTCATTCCTTCTTTTTTTTCCTTCCCCCCACTCCCCGCGGGCTGTTCTCCCACCGTCACTCTCATCCGTCGGTGATGGATAGCCGTGAGAAAATGAAAAGCCGCCTTTGATTTATCGCTAACCGATCTTCGCTATCGGACCGTCATCTTCCGAAGAAACGTCGTGCATACGCGAATACGCGGCGCGAGTAATGGAGAGCTCCGGAGAGCGCCGTTCTCGAATTATCCCGCCGTAAAACACGCCCGGGGAACGCCAGAAGGATAATGTGTAATCGCGCGTACATTAATTATCGCGCAGCCTCGAAATTGCTTCCGGTAATATTCTGATATATATTAGCGCAAGAAACTACCGGTATCAAGATTTAGGAGATGAGAGAGATATTGTTGCTTGAACGTCGCTCTTAATCATTTGATCTGCATTAATTTCAAAACTTTACGTATACGCTATATTAATATCGTTTGCGAACGATCGCTCTTAGCGGAACAAAGAAAAAGAAACACGAAGATCTTTGTCTGGTTAAAAAAAAAAGAAGCAATGCATTAATTTAATGAAATGGTATTATTTTTGTCGGGCGTAATGCATCAACGTTTTTATGATGAAATCCTTTTTGAGAAAATTGCCGTCATTAGCAAAAGAAAATAAAATGCAAATGGAGATCACTAGAACGATCAAGGCTATTACTTTATCGTATTTAATATAAGTGGTCGTATCAACCAGCTCGCTTACCGCTATCTTTATCAAAGGCTTTAAGCGGCAGCTCGAATTTAATGAGCGAAAATGTTCTTTGAAATTTACAATATTCTCGCATAATTTCAAATACGTGTTCGAATATGAGTAAGTTATATTTTTGCGTTAAAAACGTTAACGAATTAATATTAGAGAACCCATTATTATTATAGAATTAATATTAGAATTCTATTATTTTTTTACTGGTTTAAATTATTCATCACAAACAATAATTTTAATGTACCAACTTTTCAAAATATTATTTCCAATGACAAAAAGTCACGTTGATCGTGCCTGGGAAAATGAGAATTTAATTACTCGGAATGCATCTGAAAACAGTCACCGAAAAAGTGCATTTAAAGCCTGGCGCCGCCCAATCCTTGTTTCCCGCGAGATAGTTCATTAATTAGCGAAAGAAAGGAACATTTTCGCGGCTGCGATATTTCGTCAGCCTAATAGACGCGGTCTCTTTGGCGTCAACATATCACATTCAAGTATTATACCTACACACAAAGCTAATTCAGCATTTTTGAAATTTATATTTTAGTATTTTTTGTTATTTTTAAAATATCATTTTAACTTATAAATGTAAAATATATTTTTTTAAATAAACATAATTTTCACTTAAAACATATAGAGCGATTTAAAAAATTCTTGAATGAATAGATACGAAATAAAATAATTTTAAAAAATTACACATATACATACATAGTATATGCTTCGTTGAATTATTGTTATACAACAAAAACGATTCAATTATGTCCGCACAGACTAAATTATTTTTTTGCGGACTCACTTCATTTGCAAGAATAAAATTAATTTCTCGACTATCCGTTTGTCTGTTAATCACAGTTCATAATGCCGAGTTCTCGTGATTTTTGCTACATATGTCCCCTCTGATTTCAGAGTTCTCTCGGCACGTCCATCCTTCGCTGTTGACCATTCCATCCTGCTGTTGACCGCTATTCTAACCGTCGAGCGACATGACCAACTTCTGTATGTCCAACTGTATGTCTGCGGCGGGTCGGTATAGCTACTTATTAATGGGAAGACTTGTTGCTCCGTCACGACACTGCAGTTGCAGTTCCATTGTAGTTTATGCGGCTGACGCTCTCCGATTTTGAAGAGATGTACGGTTTTTTTTTACGCATTTATACAGGTTTGCGAGTTGAGATAAATAATATGAGATAAATAACGACACAACAAACTTAATTAATTTCATTTTAATGAAATGTGTTATCGAGCGTGTTGAAATAATATTGTAAAATATATGGTACATATAAGAATGTCTGCAATTTAAATAAAAATATAGATAATAACATACGTAAACATGGTAAGTTAATAATAATCAATGAGCAAATAAATGACAGAATCTGTTTAAAAATGCTTCATGAATTCTTAATCCACAATTTTTCCATTTTGACATTACACTTCTGTATACAAGGAATTGGCACTTAATAATTAATAGCCTAAATTCCAAAAGATGTAAATCTCGCGGTTAAAGGAAAAAAAATAAATGGCCGAGTGTCATTCCTTTCCGCTTGAGTATCCTCTCGACTGAAACCGTCTGCCGATGTCAGTACATTTTACGTACGTTGGTTGCAACAGAGCCAAATGTATTTTTCATGAAGCCGCAATAAAACTTGCAGCGACGAAAGCCAATAACAGTAAAGCGGCGGCTCGTGTAAGGCATACTCGTATACTCTCTCTCGCACACTAAACCATTCTGCCGCGTGCTTTTCGTTACGAGGTGCGAAAACTGGAGAATTGTCCACATACGTTTAACTCATTAATGGACTTTAATTAGTCAACAACAAAAAATTGAGACACATTCTTGCTTCGACAAGCAACAAGTTGCGTGCCTACAAAAGTCGTGTTTAATAATATAATTCGTGTTTATATCATGACTAACATTAACAACGTACGCGCGTTTCGTTTTTCATTATCTTAAAATATACCATCGTTGGCGGTAATTAATATTTCGTCTACTATCGTCCCCACTTAATAACTCTGCTTTTAATGAGCACAATATTATTCATAAACCAAACGTTGCCCGGTGTGTAAATAAAAAAAAAAACAATAGAGCAATACAAGAATTTTTAAACAAGAATTTTTCAGCGAAAGTTCAAACTAAAATATTTAGAGGGCTTCCTATAACTTAAAAAATTAAATGATTTTACGCTGAAAATTTAAAAGATTTGAAGAATTAATCTTTGAGCTTATAATTGCATAACAAAATCTCACTCTCGACGTAATCTCGAGCGATACTTTTATAACTCTCTTATGCCAAAAGATACATAATAATAAAAATTAATAGGAAGCAACAACTTATATTTTTTAATCATGATTTTGCTATCAAAACATCTAATACAATAAAAGTATGGTTTATCATATTCCTTTTTATTCTTTAAAGTTACATAGAGTAGTACAGAATCATGTTTCGCATAACTCAAACTTTGTCGTAATAAAGAAAAAATATTGTTTAATGCCACTTCTATTTGTGGATTTTGCGATATGCGTATCGCGAGATGCAATTTAAATCAAAATTTAAGATCATAATCTTGTAATACATCTTCCAAATTATTCAAATATAATGTTTTATAATGTGAGAGAAAGAGAGAGAGGGAGAAATATGGATCGACATAATTGAGACTTTTTGCAGATGACAGAAGCAAAGAGATTTTTCGGCCACGAGAAGAATAGGTGGGCGGAAAATATGACGCGAGATAATTGAAAATGATCCATCGAACGATCCGGCAGTGGCAGTACGGCATTAATTTAAAATGGAACTGATCTGAGTTATTTCCGTTCTATTACCGCGAGAGCATAATCGCGAGGCCGTTAGACAGAGATTCAGGCCGTAGTTAATCTCGTCATCATAGTGTATACATTGCGAATCTGTAGCTGTTAGCCAGACCTTTTGAAATTAATCTCGAATCTGGAAAATACTGTCCTTGTCTCAAGATTGATGAATGCGAGAGAGATTTGTAGGAGAGACAAGATACAGATAGATTGGAATAAGCCGCCACGAGTCTTATTGCCTTGGAATAACATCGTGAGACGAAAGGTCATTTTCGATAAACTTAACGACGAAAATAAAAGTATGATAAATAAGTTAATGTGATGAATCTATATACATACAATATGTTGGATATCTATAAAATATATCTGTAAAATCTTACCAAGTCTTGCCATATTAGAAACTTATATTTAGAAACCTTTAACTTCAATAATTAATATATTAAAATTATCAAGCAATAATATATAAACTATATTTAAGATTATTGAAAAATAATATATAAATCATATTTACAAATTCTTTGAGTATCTTTATCGCACATCTACAATTAGTGCTAAATACAACAGCCTGATTTTTTATTTTCTACCTTCATCGAGGCCGTTCTCGTATTATAGATAAATAAAATTCTGAAGAATTCTCAACCAAATAACCCAATTTGCCATTAAATATATGCTAAAATTACACGCCTTACATATATGCATTAGCGTGTTCTTTCGCGTCGTTGAAAAAGTTCTTGTCAGTGTATATAGATATTGTTTCGTCAGTCACGTCAAAACGATAATGCGCTAATGTTGCATAATCAGAAAAGTTTAACGTCAACTATCGAAGCGTGAAAACAAGACGATCGAGGCAAAGAGATGAAAATGGCGTAGAAAGCTTCTATAGAAAATATCGAAAACAAATTTTCAAGGACGGTATTAAAAAACTTTTTCAGTTTTAGCGCGCGTCGATCTTTTTCCTTCTCGCGGAACAAATTTGAAGAAAAACTAAATATAATATTCTGAAATCGTTATGTAGCACATTTTAAATGTGGATTCTCCTACGAATGTGCACGATTGATTTTTGCTCAGCGAACACTTGACGCAAGTGACCTAAAATTACGGAGATACTTAACATTAAAAATTAGCCCGGAAATATGTGCACCGTTGAAATATGTAGCATCTTGAGCTCCGATTTTTTTTTCAGAAGCGGAAAATCTCATCTGAAGAGAAGAGTTTCTCCCACAGATATAAACTTAATTAAAACCGTACTATACGGTATTTTCGTTTTATTAAAACAAAACGATTGAAACTTAAATAAAGAATAAAGTAATATTATGTATAACACATTTGTAAAATGAAACTTTTCGAAAAATACATCTTTTATATATCCTTTTTTTAAACTGATTGTAACTGGTTTCAAAAGATAATTAATATCCAGATATTAAAACTGCGCCATGTCCTCTGATTATATATGTATATCTATTATAGCGTTTAGATATCGTATATGTATCTATACGCATGTGTGTATGTGTGTGTTGTCAATTGTATATATCTTTAATTATATTATTTGTATTCCAAAAAGTATTAGTGTCGATATAACAAAAATAACCGTCATTTTTCTCTGCGCTATCTACACAGCATTTAGATATCGTGCATTCATATACACGTATGTATGTACATACATGTATATAAATACATATACGTACATATATATACATATATATATATATATCAATTGAATCATAAAGGTGAAAGAATGATGTGACAGAAGAGCCAGGCATCCTGGCGCCCTTCTTGCAACTCCCCCCCCCCCAGACAACAACGACCGAATATAGCTTCGCCGATATGGAAGCTAATGAACCAATTACACGTAATAGGACCGCCGCCTTCGAGGAACGATTGTCTCGGCTTTCTCGGCTGCTTCAAGGACTCTCGCTATGCAAACAATGGCCTCGACGAGGAACGTTGCAACGGTCTGCACTCGATCGGTATCGAATCGCGCTTTTAATTGGAGTCGAGTACTGTCGCATGGCTCGCGGAGTAAAAAGGCGGAGCTTCGTATATGCAACGCATGACGGCATGATAAATTAATTAGGCGCGTGTGCTTCATGGATCAATTAGGATGGAATAATTAGGAAATAATTAGGAAATTATATTGAAGATTCCGGATGGAATCAAAGCGTGGCATAATTGCGATAATTTTGTGCTGAATTTAGGACGTTAGTGTTTTTATATTATGAAAAATAGAAAGAATAAAATGTTACATTTTTACAATTAGAAAGAATTTTTAAGAAAAAAAATATCTACAAGATAAATTATAGATTGTTTATCCTTATGTTACAGATTACTTATTAAGTCAACACTTAACAAATAAAAATTCTACGTTTCATAAAGTTAATATCAGTATTGACTTTTAAATGAAATCAAACTATGAATTCTTGATAATAGAATTCTTTTTGACAATAGAAAAAATTATTCTGAAAAGCTAAGTATACTGAGACTATGAATAGCATATCTAATCTTAGTTATCAATACATCTAGCCTTATCAGTACATCTCAATGTCCTCTTTTATTATCCCAGTTAAATCCATATAATCTTTGTAAGTCACAGTTTTATCCCCAAATCCCAATTCCAAAATATATGCATCTTTCGTTCGGCCGGAACTTGACCTAATTATTGTCCACAATAAATTGTTTCCGAGCTGAGCTAATGCCTGAAGAACGGATTAATCCAAGGCCGTGGCAATATTCTTAACGCTCAGTAAATCGGATCTCGTGATGGAAAATTCGTGTCCCCGAGTATCCGCCGTCATTCGTCACTCGCGATCCTTACGCTAATTGCTAGTTGGAGACTCGCTTGAATTCTATGAATCGAGCCCTCAGCCGGGGCTTCTCCCGGTGAAACCCCAATATACAGCTTTCGCAATTCGTATGATTCCTTTTTAAGCTCGGTCGGCACGTCGCGGCATTAGTTGGTACTTACGCCGTGGATGGAAAAAAAATTCGCCGACACCGAGGGAGAAGAATTTTAAAAGCTTGTCGCAGGTAAAACGGAAAATGGAATAAATTGTACAGCCAACAAAAAGAAAGTTCCAATGGCTTTTTCTCTCTTTCTCTCATCCTCTCTCCCTTTCTCCATCCCCCTCGGCGCTCTTTCTCCCTCGCATACAAGCGAATTTGAAATTTATCAATCTCACGCATATCAAGTCAAGGTACGAGGGATTCGAGGGCGCGTCGTTACTTTTTATAGCTCTGACGTTTCGGAACGTTGCTGGCGAAAAGAAATGCGCGCGTGCCTGAATGCCCATATATTTCTCTCGCGGTAAAAGGGACATTCGAGTGGATGAGCGGCACACAATAATGTACAGACATACACGCTACGTGGCTTCACGGCAAAGCGCAATATAAGGGACTGCCTCCCGATC